GACGGTGTAATCTCTGAATGCATACTTTGAGCTATGCTCCTAATAAACTTATTATTATACATCTTTTCCTTCCAAGGATACATCATTGGAATTCCGAAATCCAAAATGTTTAGAACAGAAATAGCGAACTTCTTTGTGTGGAGTCCGGTCAAACCCTTATGCAAGCCATGTTTGTTTTTATTATTAGAAAGCGCTTACGCGCGTAGTCAGTCCATATTTGGATTTTGCATTTCCTAATATGGTAGGATGAAATTACCCCGCATAATACCGCAAAATTACTACACGCTCTAACTTATGGCGTTACGGTGACAGATGTATAATAATAATTAATAATAAATTGTTCAAAGAGCAATAATATTGCTAAAAATATTATGATGTTAACGTTGAAAAATAACATTTTTTTATTAGTTTGAATGCAAAATGGGCATTTCTTAGAGGATACAAATTTAGCTAATTCTATCTTTACTTGGATGCTCGAAGTAGTAATTCAGAATCTGAGATGTGTATAGTGTGGTCATATACATATCATGTGATACTCGTTTTCAATGGAATAAGTGTTACACAGACAGAGTTTTCGCTTGGTATTTTTAGTTACCTGCTGCCATCAAAATTCAGTGCGTGCGTTGAAATACAGAGTTCTGTAAACGATCTTTTAAAAGCTAGAATTTTTTGATGAAATTACATTATGTAATTATTTATATTGAGTATAAATCTACAGGGAGAAACTTGTACTCTTTCCATAAACCTCGTGTAATTCGCGAGTTTCTAAAATTTGACATACATTTTTCAAGACCTAGTTTATTAATTGTAGATCACGATAAGTATTACGTATTTTGGCAATGTAACATTAATTGTGTATTACCTTCGGATTTAACCATCCAGTCTTCTCTGCGTATAAAATACACTAGTATAATGTCAACTATGATAAGGATTAATGAACACATTAGGCATATTAGGATCTCTGTGTTATACGATTGACCGTCATTCACTGGATAAAATACTATACCTGCAAATAATTAGTAATATGAATGTTTCTAGAAAGGAATCTTCTAAAAGTTTATTTAATTATTGTTAAACTAACTTGGGATTATATACACCAATGTATTTCAACTAATTCAACTAATACTATGTATTACTTGTCCCACTCAGGTAAACAACGAAATACGTCATATTAATATAGTTCTCTGCATAGCATGTGTAATTTCCATAATCTGTGGCTGTCACATTTGTAATTAACAACACACTAGTCTGTATTGTGTCTTTCTTTGTTTCGACAATCAACTTCTGTCTGTAGCCGTTGATGACCTCATTCCCCAACGAGTCATACCACGTGATATTGGAATCCGGGTGACTATTAACTTCACATGATATATTAGCTGTTTCCATTACGGCAGCTTTTATCACTGCCTCGTCAGTATTTTCAATAAATGGACTATCTGTGATTCGAAAAAAACAAACAATAACGAGAAATTGTTCAATGATTTAGTCCCCATTGGAATCCGGGAGATGTTATTCAAGCCAAAAATAAAGTTACAGACCAAAAGCATAGTTAGCAATTGAGAAAGAATGAATAAATGGCTGATCTCGTATAAAGAGAAATTAGTTGTATTAAATTAATCTT